AATTACCAACATGCTGTTCCGGCATCGGCGCATCCACACAACATCATGGATGCATGCCGGGTCCAAGCAAGACCATCTGCTGGACTACATAGTGACGGACCAGCTGATGCGAGCCCATGTCCTTGACACCAGGACCTACCGTGGAGCTGATCTGCCCTCTGACCATCGACTTGTCATCTATAAGATGCGCCTGCCATTCTTCCACTCTGGTGGTGGGTATACACCCAGGACCCCATTCCAACCTAAGGTGGCCTGGTCTCAGCTCGCTGATGAAAGTTGCAAGCGAGAATTTCATCATCACTTGTAGCTGGGATTGGCATCGTCCCCCACTCTTCCTGATGTGAAGGGTAAATGGGCGAGGTTTAGGACTGTGACTCATGCAGCTGCAATGGCTGCTTTGGGTACGCGGTTCAGACCTCCCCAGAGACCCTGGCTGACAGAGAAGGTGTTCAGGCTGGTTGAGAAAAAGTGACAGGGCCACTCTCATCAGCTACAGCTTCCCACGTCAGAGAATGAGGCTTACCACATCCTTCGCTCGGAGGTTCGGAGAGCCATGAGGCACTGCAAGAATGGGAGGTGGTCGCGGGTTGCTGAGGAGATGGAGTCTGCCTCAGTGGCCCACGATCACAAATCCATATTTAACTCCATCCAAAAAGTAACCTGCAGCACCATACCTATTACCATCATTAGGGGAAAAAAACAGTGATCCAATCTCCGACCCCCAGGAACAGGTTTGCGGATTTGCTGAGCATTTCTATGAGGTCCTGGGGGAGGGGAAATCCCTCAGCCAGGAAAACATCGTGGCACAAAGTGGGGATGACCCTGCTGAGGCTGCGGTGCCTCAAATATTGGAAGAAGTCACCCCCTATGAGTGGCTGGATGAGGTGCCATCTGTTGAGGAAGTACTGAGGGCGATCCAGAGTCTGAGACCAGGAAAGGAACCGGGCAGAGATGATCTCCCAAGCGAAATGCTGAGGGAGGGTGGCGTTTGTGCACAGACTGCCCTACATGACATAAAAACATCAGTCTGGACCACTGGACGGGTTCCGCAGGACTGGAAGGATGCCCTGGTGGTCCCCCTCTTTAAGAAGGGGGACCGCACAGACTGTAACAACTACAGGGGCATCGCATTCCTCAGTGTGCCGGGAAAGGTCCTGGCAAGGATTATTCACCATCGCCTTGCTATGCACGCTGAATAGAGGCTTGCGGAGCCCTAATGCGGTTTCAGGAAAAGGCGGTCCTGCACACATGCCATATTTTCTGTACGTCTGCTACAGCAGAAGTGTAGGGAATTCCAACAAGACCTACATCTCTGCTTTATTGACCTGGTGAAGGCCTATGATACCATCAGTAGGCCTGGGCTCTGGGTTGTTCTTCATGCTTTTGGAGTCCCTAACCCTCTGCTCACGATCATTAGGGACCTTCATGATGGTGAGCGAGCCAGGGTAAAACTATATGGCCGGGAGTCAGAGCCATTCCCTGTACACCTTGGGGTGCGACAGGGATGTCCTCTGGCTCCCACATTATTTAACATCTATTTTGACCACATAGTTCGTGAAGGCTTCAATAGCTGCACCGGGGGAATTTCCATTTGGTACAGATATAATGGGAGGCTGATCGATGCCCGGGTTCGTCAACCACGTTATGTATGCCGATGATTTGGTAATAGCTGCTCATTCAGAGGAGGAGTTGGAGACGCTGCTGCTGAGACTGGAGCGTGCCACTAAAAGGCAGGGCCTTACCATCAGCCTCACCAAAACTAAGCACCTGCCTGGGTATTTTGTACCATCGGACACTCCACCCCCACAACTCCCAATCGGTGATGGGGCAGTTGTGGAGAGAGTGGAGAGTTTCCCATACCTGGGCAGTGTGCTCATGACCGGCTCCGGTTTAATAGCAGAGGTCTCACTCCGAATCGGTCGAGCGGCAATATCTTTTCATCGGTTGCGTAACGCTGTGTGGAAGCTACCTGGTCTGTCGCTCCGCACGAAGCTTCAGGTCTTTTCGGCCACGGTCATTCCCTCCCTTCTTTATGTTTGCGAAACGTGGACCCACCTAATGGAGCATTTAGGCTGGCATGCCTACGATCCATCCTGGGTTTAATCAGGCTGGATTGTGTGAGGAGCTCACAGGTCCTTGAAAAATCTGGGCAAAGTCCCATAGGTGAGCTCCTCCGGCAGGCAAGGCTGCGTTGGCTGGGCCATGTAGCCCGCATGGCCAATCACCGCATGCCCAAACAGCTTTGTTGGGCCGGATAGAGGGGGCTAAATGGGCGCGGCACGGGCTAGAGAAGAGATGGAGTGATGTGGTACAGGAGGACGTGGAGCTGAGTGGACTTGCCGATACCTGGTACCAACGGTGTCAAGATCGGCCTCAGTGGAGGAGGCTCGTGAATGACGCTACTGGGCAGTCGTAGGCAGTCGCCCTCCAACAACAACAGAGGGCGGAGGAGCGACGCTCACAACGAGCGGAACGCCGGTTGGCTAAAGCACAGCAAATAGGCACAGTAGGGGGCACAGGTGGTGCATCAGCCAGTCATCTCGGTCATCTCAGTCAGTTGGCCTGTGGCACCTGCTGGGTCTGCCCCGTGACCTCCTGCCATCGGGCATTCGACACTTAACGTGGCCTCAAGGTGCACATGGCCTGGCACAAGCGTCGTGGTGACGTCACCGCCACTAAGTGGCGAATGGCGGTTGTTGTTGTTGTGGGGAGGACGCGAAAGAGCATTTGGAGGCAGTCGCCCTCCAGCAACAACCGAGGGCAGATGAGCGACGTTCACAACAACGAGCGGGGCAGCAGGTGGCCAAAACACAGCAAGTTAGAGCAGTAGGGGTCACAGCTGGTGGTGTATCTACCGGTAAACTCAGTCAGCCGAGTCATAGCACCTGCTGGGTCTGTCCCGAGACCTCCTGTCAGCAGCAAGAGCCTTCGACACTTCACGTGGCCTCAAAGGGCACCTAGCCTGGCACAGTCACCGTGATGCCACCACCACTTAGTGGAAAATGGCGGGTGCTGTTGTGTGGGGAGCGGTAACACAGCGGTTAGCGCACTGCACTACGAACCTTTAGTCCCGTGTTCGATTCCAGCTCACGGCCAACAACCAGTGACGATTACCTGAACCGGTCCTGGGCCTCCCCTAGGATGTTGACTCAGCCTCAAATGAGTACCTGGTGTGGTGTGTCAACATCGCCACTGGGGAGACAAAGGCGGTCGGGCGTGGTCCCAGGCGAGCTAGTGAATCTCACTATGGGGAGAAACAAGCAAACTGATTCCACTCCTGTAGCACTGCACGGCTGATCAGTCTCCTGTACCAGGGCACGGCTGATCAGTCTCCTGTAGCATTGCACGGCTGATCAGTCTCCTGTACCATGGCACGGCTGATCAGTCTCCTGTAGCACGGCACGGCTGATCAGTCTCCTGTAGCACTGCACGGCTGATCAGTCTCCTGTACCACGGCACGGCTGATCAGTCTCCTGTAGCACTGCACAGCTGATCAGTCTCCTGGAGGTGATGAGACATAGCCTCCATTGTTGAGAAGACGCCACCCGCGGTGTTTCAAAGGGGCAGGGAAAGTTTAATCATGAATCACAAAAAAACTACGGGCAATGTTATCGCTATACGTTGTGTTCATTCATCATGTTTATTGTCTATTCACCATATCGCGTTTATGAATCATGTTGTTGTGTTTTATATTCACCATGTTGTGTTCATGAATCATATTGTTGTGTTCTATTGATCATGTCGTTGTGTTATATTGATCATGTTGTGTTATATTGATCATGTCGTTGTGTTATATTGATCATATTGTTGTGTTAGATTGATCATGTTGTGTTATATGCATCATGTCGTTGTGTTATATTGATCATATTGTTGTGTTCTATTGATCATGTCGTTGTTATATTCATCATGTTGTTGTGTTATATTGATCATATTGTTGTGTTATATTGATCATGTTGTGTTATATGCATCATGTCGTTGTGTTATATTGATCATATTGTTGTGTTCAATTGATCATGTCGTTGTTATATTCATCATGTTGTTGTGTTATATTCATCATATTGTTGTGTTATATTGATCATGTCGTTGTGTTATATTGATCATGTTGTTGTGTTCAATTGATCATGTCGTTGTTATATTCATCATGTTGTTGTGTTATATTCATCATATTGTTGTGTTATATTGATCATGTCGTTGTGTTATATTGATCATGTTGTTGTGTTATATGCATCATGTCGTTGTGTTATATTGATCATGTTGTTGTGTTATATTCATCATGTTGTTGTGTTATATTGATCATGTTGTTGTGTTATATTGATCATGTTGTGTTATATGCATCATGTCGTTGTGTTATATTGATCATATTGTTGTGTTATATTGATCATATTGTTGTGTTCTATTGATCATGTTGTTGTGTTACATGTGTAATGCGAGCGTAAATGAGGTTGCTGCTGGACTCTGGCCCAATCACACGGCCCGGGGTATTGGGGGCGGAGCCCGGTATGGGAGGCGTGTGGGAGGGGCCGCCGTTCACCTCGGCTCCAATGGGAAGCGAGGTGAATGGAGGTGGAGCCAGCAGGGCAGTATGGGAAGGCCGGATCTGACGATCCGGAAGGGAGGAGTCAGGGTCACGTGGGAGAGAGGTTATAGAGAGGAGCCCGGAAGAGATCAAGGCCAGTTGATGGAGTGAAGAAGCGGGACCACGTTGGGTGGCCACCACGCCACCAGCCACATGGTGGATGGGGCTTCGGCACACCGTCCGCCAGCGGTGTGCGGAGCGGGGAGGAGCGGAGCGACTGACGGGAGAGCGCGTGCGGGGCGCGCTCGAGAAGGAGCTGACAGAGGAGCGTGCGCGGCACGCGAGAGGAGCGTGCGCGGCACGCGAGAGGCGACGCTGGTCCCTTGTCAGGACCAGCGGGGTGTGAGGACAAGTGGAGGAGCTGAGGAGGGAGCGCGTGCGCGGGGCGCGCGCGAGAGACGACGCTGGTCCGTGGAGGAGACCAGTGGGGTGCGGAGAAGAACCTGAATAAAAGACAAGCGGAGACCAGCAGTGCCTGACGGAGTCTTTTATTACATATGCATCATGTTGTTGTTGTAAGTACTCTTTGTAAGACCAGTGGAGTGAAGCGGCACAGAATCTCAAGGACTCCTTTCGTGCCACAACGAAAACGAAGCGGCCTTGCCGGGGCGGGTCGCAAGAGGACGGCGAGTGGGAAGCAACGACGACGACGATGATAACGATGATGATGACGATGATGATGACGATGATGATGACGATGATGATGATGACAATGATGACGATGACGTTGATGACGATGATGACGATGATGACGATGACGACGATGATGATGACGATAATGATGACGATGATAACGATGACGATGATGACGACGATGATGATGATGACGACGATGATGACGATGACAATTGATGACAATGACGACGATGACGATGATGACGATGATAATGATGATGACGATGATAACGATGATGACGATGATGACGATGATCGCTGCTGTGAGATCCCAGGTTGAGGAGGGAGGGCGGAGGAGGGAGGGTGGAGGGAGGAGGGAGGGAGGGGGGATGGGGGAGGTCTACACCCAAGGGAGAGAGACGGGGAGATAGTTAACATCTCATCAGGGTCGGAATCGAACTCACGACCTCCTGCACACCAGGCGAGGTCGTCAACATCTCATCAGGGTCGTGATCGAACTCACGACCTCCTGCACACCAGGCGAGGTAGTTAACATCTCATCGGGGTCGGGATCGAACTCACGACCTCCTGCACACCAGGCGAGGTCGTCAACATCTCCCTGGCCACCATGGCGAGATGTGAACTATCAGCTGAGCGGCGGCGCTGCGGTTAGCGCGCTAGGCAGGCTGCACTCCGACAAACCCGGCCAGAGACCCGAGTTGGATTCCCGCTCACGGCCACCACCACCACCGCCAACGCCAAAACCCAGCTGTAGTACCACTGTACCACAACTATCACCACTGTATCACCACTGTACCACCACTGTATTACCACTGAATCACCACTGTATTACCACTGTATCACCACTGTATTACCACTGTATCACCACTGTATCACCACTGTACCACCACTGTATCACCACTGTATTACCACTGTATCACCACTGTATTACCACTGTACCACCACTGAATCGCCACTGTAGTACCACTGTATCACCACTGTATTACCACTGTATTACCACTGTATCACCACTGTATCACCACTGTAGTACCACTGTATTACCACTGTATTACCACTGTAGTACCACTGTATCACCACTGTATCACCACTGTAGTACCACTGTATCACCACTGTAGTACCACTGTAGTACCACTGTAGTACCACTGTATCCCCACTGTATTACCACTGTAGTACCACTATATCCCCACTGTATTACCACTGTAGTACCACTGTATCCCCACTGTATTACCACTGTATTACCACTGTAGTACCACTGTATTACCACTGTATCCCCACTGTATTACCACTGTAGTACCACTGTAGTACCACTGTATTACCACTGTATCACCACTGTATCACCACTGTATTACCACTATATCCCCACTGTACCACCACTGTATTACCACTGTAGTACCACTGTAGTTCCACTGTATTACCACTGTAGTACTACTGTATTACCACTATATCACCACTGTATTACCACTGTATCCCCACTGTATTACCACTGTAGTACCATTGTAGTACCACTGTATCACCACTGTATTACCACTGTATTACCACTGTATCCCCACTGTATTACCACTGTAGTACCACTGTAGTACCACTGTATTACCACTGTAGTACCACTGTATCACCACTGTATTACCACTGTATCACCACTGTATCTCCACTATATCCCCACTGTATTACCACTGTATTACCACTGTAGTACCACTGTATTACCACTGTAGTACCACTGTATTACCACTGTATTACCACTATATCCCCACTGTACCACCACTGTATTACCACTGTAGTACCACTGTAGTACCACTGTATTACCACTGTAGTACTACTGTATTACCACTATATCACCACTGTATTACCACTGTATCACCACTGTATCACCACTGTATTACCACTATATCACCACTGTATCACCACTGTATTACCACTGTATTACCACTGTATTACCACTGTATCACCACTGTATTACCACTGTAGTACCACTGTATTACCACTGTATTACCACTGTATCCCCACTGTATCCCCACTGTATCACCACTGTATTACCACTGTATCACCACTGTATTACCACTGTATCACCACTGTACCACAACTGTAGTACCACTGTATCACCACTTTATCACCACTGTACCACCACTGTATCACCACTGTATTACCACTGTACCACCACTGTATTACCAATGTATTACCACTGTAGTACCACTGTATCACCACTGTAGTACCACTGTAGTAGCACTATATCCCCACTGTATTACCACTGTAGTACCACTGTATCACCACTGTATTACCACTGTATTACCACTGTAGTACCACTGTATTACCACTGTATCCCCACTGTATTACCACTGTAGTACCACTGTATCACCACTGTATTACCACTGTATTACCACTGTATCCCCACTGTATTACCACTGTAGTACCACTGTATTACCACTGTATCACCACTGTATTACCACTATATCCCCACTGTACCACCACTGTATTACCACTGTAGTACCACTGTAGTACCACTGTATTACCACTGTAGTACTACTGTATTACCACTATATCACCACTGTATTACCACTGTATTACCACTGTATTACCACTGTATCACCACTGTATCTCCACTATATCCCCACTGTATTACCACTGTAGTACCACTGTATCACCACTGTATTACCACTGTATTACCACTGTAGTACCACTGTATTACCACTGTATTACCACTGTAGTACCAGTGTATTACCACTGTAGTACCACTGTATCCCCACTATATCCCCACTGTATTACCACTGTATCACCACTGTATTACCACTGTATTACCACTGTAGTACCACTGTATTACCACTGTATTACCTCTGTAGTACCACTGTATTACCACTGTATTACCACTGTAGTACCACTGTATTACCACTGTATTACCACTGTATTACCACTGTAGTACCACTGTATTACCACTGTATTACCACTGTATTACCACTATATCACCACTGTATTACCACTGTATCACCACTGTATTACCACTGTATTACCACTGTAGTACCACTGTATCACCACTGTATTACCTCTGTAGTACCACTGTATTACCACTGTATCACCACTGTATTACCACTGTATTACCACTGTAGTACCACTGTATCACCACTGTATCACCTCTGTAGTACCACTGTATCACCACTGTATCACTACTGTATCACCACTGTATCCCCACTGTATTACCACTGTATCACCACTGTATTACCACTGTATTACCACTGTAGTACCACTGTATTACCACTGTATTACCACTGTATTACCACTGTATTACCACTGTAGTACCACTGTAGTACCACTGTATTACCACTGTATCCCCACTGTATTACCACTGTTGTACCACTGTATTACCACTGTATTACCACTGTATTACCACTGTAGTACCACTGTATTACCACTGTATTACTACTGTAGTACCACTGTAGTACCACTGTATAACCACTGTATTACCACTGTATCACCATTGTATTACCACTGTATTACCACTATATCCCCACTGTACCACCACTGTATTACCACTGTAGTACCACTGTAGTACCACTGTATTACCACTGTATCCCCACTATATCCCCACTGTATTACCACTGTATCACCACTGTATTACCACTGTATCACCACTGTATTATTTCTGTAGTACCACTGTATTACCACTGTATCACCACTGTATTACCACTGTATTACCACTGTAGTACCACTGTATCACCACTGTATTACCTCTGTAGTACCACTGTATCACCACTGTATCACTACTGTATCACCACTGTATCCCCACTGTATTACCACTGTATCACCACTGTATTACCACTGTATTACCACTGTAGTACCACTGTATTACCACTGTATTACCACTGTATTACCACTGTAGTACCACTGTATTACCACTGTATCCCCACTGTATTACCACTGTTGTACCACTGTATTACCACTGTATTACCACTGTAGTACCACTGTATTACCACTGTATTACTACTGTAGTACCACTGTAGTACCACTGTATCACCACTGTATTACCACTGTATTACCACTATATCCCCACTGTACCACCACTGTATTACCACTGTAGTACCACTGTAGTACCACTGTATTACCACTGTAGTACTACTATATTACCACTATATCACCACTGTATTACCACTGTATTACCACTGTATCACCACTGTATCACCACTGTATTACCACTATATCACCACTGTATCACCACTGTATTACCACTGTATTACCACTGTATCACCACTGTATTACCACTGTAGTACCACTGTATTACCACTGTATTACCACTGTATCCCCACTGTATCCCCACTGTATCACCACTGTATCACCACTGTACCACCACTGTAGTACCACTGTATCACCACTGTATCACCACTGTACCACCACTGTATCACCACTGTATTACCACTGTATCACCACTGTACCACCACTGTATTACCACTGTATTACCACTGTAGTACCACTGTATCACCACTGTAGTACCACTGTAGTAGCACTGTATCCCCACTGTATTACCACTGTAGTACCACTGTATCACCACTGTATTACCACTGTATTACCACTGTAGTACCACTGTATTACCACTGTATCCCCACTGTATTACCACTGTAGTACCACTGTATCACCACTGTATTACCACTGTATTACCACTGTATCCCCACTGTATTACCACTGTAGTACCACTGTAGTACCACTGTATTACCACTGTATTACCACTGTATTACCACTGTATCCCCACTGTATTACTACTTTATTACCACTGTAGTACCACTGTATTACCACTGTATCACCACTGTATCACCACTGTATTACCACT